TCTCGATAAAAAAAAAATGAAGAGATCAAAGACACACTAAAAAATGAATTAATGTCACCTAAATGTAGTAATTTGGCCGAAAACATGGAAGAAAATGAACCCTCCATAGCATGGAAATTTGAAGAATAAGAACAAAAAGAGAAAGGCAATGGGTGGGGGCAACGAAAATGATAGAGAAATCGGTGTCTCCCCATAGGGAAGGGGGTGGGGGGGACATTACCACATGGGAGCACAATTGTTAAGAGTTGCAAATGATCCAGTGGCAGAGGATTTGGTGGAACCCCATTAATACTCTCTTCGGTTATATAAAACCAAAATACTATATATATTACATGTATATTTATAATTGAATCTAAAGTGTTGTTATTTTTTAAAAAATTATGTTCGAATAGATACTTTTGTAGGACACGTGTATGTTTTCAATGACTATGAAAGATTTTGAACATATATTATCTTAAAATCACTCCAGAAAAAAGTATATACTTAAATTTTTTGTTTCGGTCTCAATCAAAATCGGACCTAGAGAGAGTAAAGATAAAACGTACGTAGCTAGAGCTGGCAGAGTTGGTCTTGTGGGAGTGGAGTCAATGCTACAGTGGTTTTTGTATGTCGGGTAGATTGTTTGTGAGTAGGCTGTTGATATTGTCGCCTTTCTCCTTCAAATTTCTCTTTCCAGAAGCTAACCACTCGGTCCCTAAGCTCCTCATATATACACACTAACATCGACGTTTGGACTGTTTCCAGGTGGGGGCGTGATTGTCAAGTAATATTCAGTGATGAAAGCTCGGTGAATGAAAGCAACTTCACTTGTACCTCTTAAGAACACGAATTCACAAGGGGAATGCATAAAAACAAGGATATCGAATCTCCTATGTACATATGATTGACGGCTGAACTAACTTGTATGATGTTTTGGAAATATTGTAAGAAACCTGTTCCGGGACCCCACATTTGTTGTTACAAGAACAGGATCCAGCACGTAAATCGAGTAGGACGGGGATCCGCCAAGGCTCTCTTGTTCGTTACCGTCGCAATAGTTAAAGGGTTCTGACAAAATGAACTGGTTGGTGACAAATTTATACAGTTTTTGTTGTGGATTTCAGCATCATCTGCACTGCCCCGTGCAGTATGTTTACTGCCAAAAACATCAGAATGCCATTAAAACACACATACACACACCAGAAGTACAAATAGGGATATGTATGACATATTGACAACTTAATATCTCCTAATCAGCAACCTATTGTTTTATTTAATTATAACAATGGCTCCAACATTCTCGTGTCCTAAGAACAAGTTTTAACACACAATTAAAGGGGATAATGTGTTTAAGAAGCCATAACATATTAAAACCAGAATCCAAGGTAAATGGATTTCTATTTCAATGAGTTGCGATGATGGTAATCCAACTGTTGTTGCTGCTCTAGAAAGCAGGGATACTGCCATTGCGGCTAGTGACAAGTTCAGGAAGAACTCAATATTCGTTAGCGAGTCGGCATTGCTTGATCAGAACGAGGACGACAATATAGCCATTGTTGTAAGGCGTTGAATTCAAATTCCATACATAATGACAGCCCTGGTTTGGGGAAAGAAACAGAAATAGCAGTTTCTACTAAAGCAATAAATTTAGATGCCTCAATAACTTAACAAGTTCCGGTACATATAGTAGCTTTCTAGTTACTAACATCACGTGTATCTCTAGCAAAACTACACCAACTCATGTTTTATCAACTGAAAAGCAAAAGGATGATTCGGGTAATAACCAGCCAGTGGCGATATATACATTACATAATGTTGAAATTGCGAAAAATAGAATCAGCCATTCATTGCTGTCCTCACTCTATGTAGAACTTATTAACTGGAGGGAGTACATCGCAAGAAGGTTTGCTGATCTTAACATCAAATTCAACCTCCATTAATCGATAGAACGGTTCATTGAGAAAGAAGCATTGAGGTTGGTCTCTTCATCAACATGAAGAGGATGAAAGAAAAAAAAAACTGTACAAAAATAAAAAGCAATAAAAAATCATCAGGAAAATGAAGAAGCAAATACTCATGATCATACTTTATGAAATAAACTAGGCTCCAAAATATTATGCAACACTGCCAAACCAAAGCCTTGCATATAAACAAGCACTAACTTTAAATGCATGCATAAATTAGGGCAGAAGGGCAAGTAACAAATTGCTTGATCAGGCTTTCTAGAACTGGGATTCAAATGCATGATTTTAAATTGTTCCCAAATGTTTTAGCAATCGCATACTTGTAGTTGAAGTATGTGGGTTGATTTGAGCAATTCAGACCTGTTGACCCAATAAGTGCCATTATTTGGACTAGGAGCAGTTGTTAACTCAATCTCTTGCTGAGCATGATCCTCCCTTCTTCCCTGTTGCACAAAAGATAAGAACAGGAGTTATCTCGCACACATGAAGCCATTTCATTCGGTTGGTCCCGCCAGACTAATAAGGAATGCTGAGGCTCAACTTACTCGGAAATGCACATCAAACCATCCAGCAAATCCACAGAACAGATTGAGCACCATGCTCTGACAACTTGGTTGCTTCAACAGCATAGACCTTCCTTGCACCAGCCTGGGCAGACCAGATGGCTAGAATGCCACTTCCAGTTCCTACATCTAACAAGGGACCGAGCTATGATCAAACATTGGAAGGGGCTAATTTTATTTACAATGAAAGAACAAGGTTCAATGAAGTATTTAAATATAAAAATTGCGAGGAAAAAAGTCTTATTTAACTAATATTTAAACTAAAAAGGACCTAAAACGCTATTACACCCAAAAAAAATTGGGAGGGGCTGTCAAAACTAAACATAGTGACAAAAACAATCCACCCCAAAACGATATATACAATAGCAATGTAATCAATAAGAAAACTGAACACCCCTTTCAAAATTTATTCATTTTCTTTGCTTTCCTAGTTTATAATAGTTGCATGTTATCTAAAAATGTTCTGCTTTAATTTTTTAAACTTTCATAGCTTTCTCAAGTTTATTTCCACTAAGGAATAACAAAGCACAAAGGAAAACAAAAGAGTAACTTTGAGGCATTTCAAACAACAAAACAATAACACCCAACTGTCTCTCGCTGATATATAAGTTTTACCAACTTACTAAGTTAATACCCAAACATAAAACGTCTCTCTTTTTACATATTTGGATTCAAGTTCTAAACTTTAAGGCAGAAAATAAAAGGAAAAGGCGTTACCTTTCCTTGGAAGTGATGTTTGTTCTTAAAAACGGCATTGTAGTAAGCGTCCATGCGGACTCGATCACTGAGCATCTCTTTCTGGTGGTAAAGACAAGCATAACTGCAGAAGTAATTGGCAAAATCAGCTCCTTTATCCACCGGTCGATTGCTGCTACCGCCTGCGACGCCATTTGTACGGCTCCCCATTCTCCCTCTTTGTCACTAAACGCTCTAAGCTCAAAGTTTTTTTTTTTTAAATAAACTCAAAGCTTTTTACACGGCGGGAAATAGTGAAAGTAGTTTTTAGGGCAACGTCGTCATAGGCGGTGAGGTTTAATACCTTATTGCGTCTCATGATAATTTATGCGGGAGAATGAGCTTGAAATAAATTTCAAAATTACTTTATAAATTATTATCGTTAATAATTCAAAATTTAATTTACTATATATACTTGACTTATCAAGAAAAGGTTAAAAACAAATTTATTCTATTAATTAAATTTAAATTATATTTAGATGATTAGTATGAAAATTAATTTTTTTTTTTGATAAATTGCTCATATTATTATCCAAGAAGTAGTAGACAAAAACACACTACTACAAAAAATACATATCCCACAAAACAGACCAAAACGAAGCCCTCTAGGAGGTAGCAATCCCCTAAACAAGGCAAAGATTACAATTAATCACACTGCTCTTAATCACTATTCTAGCAGCTCTTACTCTAATTATCTCTTTAATACAATTTATCACATTTTCAATATCTCTACTAATTCCCCTAAACTGTCTATGATTCCTCTCCTCCCAAACACAGTAAATGTAAGCACACCAAGCAACTCTAAGGATAAACATAGGGAAATATTTTCCTTTAAATCGAGAAATTGCCCAACTCAACTCCTCCTCCCAAGTCCCCACAACTCTGTTAACGTTGCACAGTCGTGTAATTTCCTCCCAAATAGCCTTCGAGAACGAGCATTCAAAGAAAATATGACTACGAGTCTCGGGCACATCTTCACACAATCTGCACTTTTCATTCACCTCAATTCTCAAACGAGCAAGTTTATCAGCAGTTGACAGCCTATTTAAAATAGCCATCCAAGCAATTAGCGAGTGTTTTGGTATGTGCATTGGAAACCAAATAACCTTATGCCAATCAACCTTCGCACTTCTCCCCCTAATCTCCTACCATATCCAACGAGCATTTACCTTGCCCCAATTCATAGTACCTGAGAACAAAGGTTGCAAGTCACCTATGATTTTCATGATCTTCCGCATACTCCAGCTGAAAGAAGGCTTGCTCTCAATAGACCAGAAGTCCACCCCTTAAGAAAATTAATTTTAAAGTTGATTGAAGTTTATATTATATCAAATCGATGTTTTCTTCACAAAAAATATTACTTAATTATTGAATTCATTGAATCATCTTAATTGTAAAATAGAGTATTATTCTTTTTTAGGTGACTCGAATGTGACCAATTATGTTTATAATGTACGTGTGCATTGTTAATAAATGAAAAATTTATAAATAAACACCTACTTTATAATCACTATAGATTATTTAAAATTATTACTTAATTATTTTCTTTATATAATCTATTATGTACATATATTTGACTTAAATTGGATGCTTTTTTCAACTATATAGAATTGGTCCTTGAGGAGATGGAAGATGCCTGTGCTTGGTTAACTTCATAAAGAACAAGAGAAAATAATTAATTAATAAATCAAAAAAATTGGAATTGGAAATCTAATGACAACAATTAAAATCAAAGTCATGCAATGCACTCTCTCCTTTTTTAAGCTTCTTTGCGGTCGCAGGTTCGAGCTTCTTTAATAAAAGATATATCCGAAGGTCCCTCTTTTGGTGAGAGCAACTGCTTCTCCGTATCTGTATCGTCGATTTCTGTCGAGTCGCGGGCCCTGGCTATTGAGACAGTTTCAATTCCTTCTTCTGGAACCAACCCAGCCAAAAGAAGCAGAAGAAAGTCTCAGCTATCAGAATTTGTAAATGGAAGATTCAACCTTTCATATACAGCAGAAAAGACAGGAAGCATACCTATTTCGTGGTATTCAGGTAAGCGTTTCACTGTGGTTACTTGAAGGCTTTCAGGAAGCAGACAGCTGCATAAATAACCTACATTTTTGGAAAATAATCGTCCAGCTCAGTTGGTAGAACACAAGGATCTTAACTTTGAGGTCGTGGGATCGAGTCTCACAGAGGACATTTCATAATTCGGAGTTCTCCCACGGAAGCTGCTATCATACATCCTCTTACCCCATTACATATGGAAATAAAGGATCAACTAATTTAATTTTTTTTGGAAAATCACAAAATGATTTTCCTTCTTTTTTATCATTTTAGCGGAAAATGCCAAATACGGATGACGAAAAGCATACTATATAACAATATAGACTTGGCTTAGGGGTTGTTTGCCCCTCCCAATGGGCCCAAGGACCAGCTTTGTTCAAACTTCAAACGTATCAAACAAAGTAGCTACACATATGCCAATTCCTTGAGGGATACCCCCATACAAAATCTAACAGTTGACATAATGTAAGGAAGAGCAAATCATCGATATCATCAAATGTCATGGACAGTTTGAAGAAGAAAGATAAGAGACACGTATATATATATGCATATACAGAATTTGATAAACAATTGGAAGGATCAACAAACCTATCCGAGCCAGCCGGTTTACCCATCCGGGGATATGTTTGCCAGTCAATCTATGCACTATGTCATCTGTAAAGTGGTTACAGTTCTTGGAGATGAGGTGGTAGGTATCTCCATGGTACTCAGAAGCTACACTCTCGATCAATGTTCTGAATTCAGAGAAAGGCATGTGTATGCATCCCAATGCGATAGAACATCTGTAGATAAAACCATGGCAGCTCTTTGGCTCTACTTCAAAAACTCCACTAATTGGAAAATCATGTGCCCCAAATCCATACTCTTTACCATGAACTGTTCATAAATATTGAGATAGATAGTTCAGTTTCCTAAATTAGAAAAAAGGATTATCAACACAGGAAGTATTTAGCCTAATGCCCTCAACAGCATGGTTTCAGATTGAAGCCACTAAACAGCAACCAAGTATGTAGCAATAAGCTGTTTTATTTCAAGCATGTTACAAGTTCCTCGATGTTCGATGCATTTCAATCCTACCAAGTACTAACTACCAACAAATAGCTAATCTTAATCTAACCAAATGGAACTTTGAGTCCTTTAGCACCACAACTATGTTCAACTAATCTGAATAACATATACTAGAAGTAGAAATAGAGAGAATTTTATGACCAAAAGCAAAATGTAGTAACTTCATTTAACATATGAAACCTTTGTTCAAACATTTTCAAAACAAAATCTTGCTAAAATAGAAATGCATTGCCTCATGCATACACAACTTTTCAAACCACGGTAAAATTAGATGACAAATTCACTAGTTAACAAAAAGATCTAAGCAAACATCAAAAGATCTCATTTTCTCCATAATTCATACCTAATAAAAACCTAAATGAATGTAAAGCTTCAGCTACATATTGGAGAAAAGCAAGCAAAATATTATTTAAAACAAATCGGGAATCCCATATCCATTTTCTATCGAGAGAAACCAATTTCATCATTTTGGAGCAATACGAAACTAAAATAATCTATAACCCACATCCCGAAACATAAAAAAGAAACAGACGGCCAATATAAAAAAAACAAAGAGAAGGCAGAAAAGAGAGGAAACCTTCAATACCGGAGTGGAAAATCCCGAAACCAAGACAATAAGAGTAATTATTGATAGGAGTTAGATCATATACATTCAAAATCACATTGGTTACGTCGTTAGAGCACCCATTTTGATTCCCAGAGCTAGAACTTGAAGATTCTCCCCCCGCCCCCATCTTTTTTCTTCTCGTTGACACAAACGCACACATAAAAAAAAAGAGTTTGCCGTATAAGATTTACAAAAATCCCAGTATTGTGTTTTCTTTTGTTTCAGTATGTTAGGACTCGCTGAGATCAAACTATGTATTGAGGCTAAAAGGATCTGATTTCCCTTTCTATTTTTTTCCTGCAGGAGATTGAAAGGAAAGAAAGGGAAGAAGGATAATAAATGGGGCAAATACGGCAAAACAAGTTATGATTGTCTATAGGCTATAGCTTTACAGTTGATTCAGATGTTTGTTAAATAATATGTTCCCAAACTATTACTAACCGATTCATTTGTACGCCAACAAAATTAATCAAGGGTAAATAATACAAATGATCACTCGATTATAAAATATTATTTAATTAAATTATTTGACTGTTAAAAGTTATAAAATATTTTTTTATTATGAGGTGTTATTTTGTTGAATACATCGACTATTAAAGGTTATAAAATAATTATATAACTCTTAATTATGTTTCAGACTCATCATTTTCTGTTAAAAAATTAGTGAATGTTTAAACTGAACGTTAACATAATGACTAGAATATAATAGTCATTTCAGATTTTGTGATCAAATTTGATCATATCACAGTCAACAAGTTAACATTAAACTCAGATATCTTCCAATTTAACAAAAAATGATGAGTTTGAAACATAATAAAAAATCGGGTGATATTTTGTAATTTTTAATAGTTGAATGGCTCAATAAAACGACACTCCATAATCGAAGAGCCATTTTAAAACTTTTAATAGTCAAATGACTTAATAAAACAATATCCTATAATCAGAGAACATTTGTGTTATTTACCCAATAATTAAATAAGTTTGTTTCTCATACAACGATTAATATGTCTTTGAGTTAATGTACATTTTAGCTGTCGTTTGCTATTTTTAATTTGTTTGGATTTAAAAATGATTTAAATTTCTAACATTTCTACTTCAAAAATAAAAATAGCTACATACACAATCAACGATGTTTTATATTTACAAAAGTTAGCTACATACACAATCAACGATGTTTTATATTTACAAAAGTTTATTCAGACGGACTTTATGTTATACAGTTAAATAAAAAGGTTGAAAACAAATAAAATAACATCTAAGGGAAAATCTCACATGTCACAGTCTAATATACAGTTAAAGAAAAACGTTATCAAAAATATTTTTTAACTTTTTGGTAAAGAATTATCGAAAATATTATTATTTCTATCGAAAATGTTATTATTGGCGCTTTACCAGATTTATTAACATATCCGGTAAAACGCTATCTAAAACATTATTTTTTCTACCGAAAATGTTATTGAGCATTTTACCTAAAATGTTAAATTTTTTTTAATGTTTTAAATAAAAAATAATAATGTTTAAGATAATATTTTACTTTAATATTAAAAAAATATATATTTCTAATAACGTCTTTATTTAATCAACATCTAATCGCCAATAGCCAATGTATATATATATATCTTATACGTAAACCAGATAATAATCTCATTACTTTAAAAATAATTTAGAAACTCCTGCAACGTTGAAATTGGGTCTCGTTTGACTTGTATTAGGAAATAGTATTTTTAATCAGATGACAACTTGGCAAGAATAGGGGAACAAATAGCTCTGAACATCATCACAATTCTCCAAAGAAGAAACCAGAAACAAATATCCCTCAACAGTTGAGAAAAGTAAACCTTTCAAATTATTGCGGCCAAAACACAGAATATTAAATTGCTGCGAATCAAAAAGGGTATACTGCATGATTTTAAGTTCCCAGGAACCTTTTTTGTTCACTCATTTGATAAAACAACAAACAACTCGGGACCATCTGTGTTGCACCCTGTGTGCAACAGATACAGTGGCACTCAAGCAGTGGACTTTATGTATTCCTCTCCTTGTCCAACCTAAAACAAAACGGAGTCAGACCAGATATCTATTAGCTATACCAAGTAACAAACTAAAAAGTAAATGGCATAGATTAGTATGGCATGGCACTTACGATTAAAACTCCCACATGCAAAGAAGAAACCGAGCACAATAAAGTTAAAATCACAGTCATGAATGATTATCAGGAGAAGTCCGTCACCTTACACGGCTCCTCCAAGGAAATGATCCGCCATCTGAAGACTCGTTGTCCTCGTCTCTGGTAGGTCCAGTTTTCCCATCATAGATTTCTCCCCAATATCTGGTTAATCTCCCCCTAATTCTCAGTTGAGCTCTTGCCCCTGAGGTGCCAGACCAACTGCTGCTCCTAGGACTAGACCCTGGCTGGAACACTCGAATAAGGAAAAACACAGTGAGCCAACTTCCATCATCAACCGGTAATATGCTGTCATCAGCCCTCTCCTCCCCAAATGAAGATTGCAGTGTGCTGAGCAAGTTTCCAAGGTCTCTTTGACGCTCCAACCTCCTCCAATTCCGCTGTCGCTCAGGATCAGCCTCTGACGGATGTTTCGGAGGAACAACTTCTAAATTTGGCATTCATGAAATGCCGAGCAGGCTCTACAACAACCCAATCTTTTATCTCACCAGGACATAGAAAGCACACTAGTCTGGAGAGCACTTGCTTCTCACATGAGACAGTAGATGGGGCGGAGGGGCCTTCCTCAGTACTCTCTTCCTGCAACTCAGAGACAGTTGATTCTGAAGTTGCAGCTGCATCTGTGATTACAAGCTGAGCTCCTTCTTGTTGAGGATCTTGTGGTGCTGTAGCAGCAGCATCTGAAAATTACTTGTGAAACTGATCAAAACAGTTGAATGGCGATAACTTGTATCACAAATGTATGGACGACAACCCTTTTCATGTGAAGAACATACGAGGAGAATTGCATTGTGAGGATGCTCCATGCAGACAGGGCACTTGGCATCTTCTCATTCGTTTAGATTTTCCTCAGTTTCTGAAGGGAATTTGGGTGATGATTGATTACAGAAGGGGGATCTCCTACACCTATCGGAAGAAAGGGAATGGCTTCTTCTCTCCTTCGGCATATTTAAATCTCTAATGTCCAAAACTAATGCCAAGTCACTTGACCTTTGAGAAGGCAGAAATTGAGTGATTAAAAGTACAAAACATAACATCATCACTGATTAAAACACAGAGGATACAATTCAGCAGAAAATGAAATTTGGGTTAACAAGTAAAATAAAAGGAAAAAACAGAATCCTAAGAAAAAATGAATCTTTCACAACATTAGATAAACTTTAGATATAGCAGACAGACATCACTAAAAATAAGATTTTGTTGATCAAGTAGCTAGCTAGCATTCAACAGCCAAATAATGAGAAATATTGCAGTTAGTTATGGTTGTAGCATAGATGATTCTAGGACTGCATTATAATTCCAGGCAGTTAGTTCACAGTCAGCTTTTTCTAACATTAATCACTCCAATTTCATCATCCTTACAAAGCTGACACTTCAAGAACTGGAATCTATAACAAAGATGAGAATCATAATCAACAACAGGTGGCACAAACAACAGAATGAATCTACCAATGTTCAAGGCAGTGGCATTGCTAAAAGGCCAAGCTACAGCAATATATCTCATCAATGACATTTTCAAACTGCAGAATTAAGCTGAATGTAAGTATTATTCCCTACCGGTAATTTTTTCTCTTATGCAATTGCAACTCCTTTTAGATTCTGTTTTACATCAGTTTGCTTCATTTAGGGTTCTAAAACTATCCCATGCTACTATCATAATCGTTTTCTCCACTTTGCACAAAAGTTTTCGTCTTACAACCAACTAGAACAAGATAAAAGTCCATACAAAAGCTACTCCAAGATAAACCCAAAACGGTGAAACTATCCACCTGCATATCTATTTTTCCGTCAAAAGTGATTAACCTGACATGTAGCGTTATCAATTATCAAGAATAAAACTCAATTATAACAAAATGTCAAGTATCCAAAAGAAAAATAGCACTGAACATTGAATCGCTTAATTTCACAATTTACAGCATAAGCTTTTCAATTAAAATCACTTTCCGGCACCAGATTAATTACATGCGCAAACACACACAAGTTAAATTCAAGTGCGGAGTGACATCGAAATACAAAAACAAGGACACAACAATATGAGAGGCTATATTAAGGAATAAAGTTTCTCTGAGCTCCGTTTTCTTTAAATGACTTCGAATAAAACAAGAATATTAAGTTCAAAATCCCCACAAACAAACAAAAGTCTTCCAAAATGAAATATGTGAAAACAAGAAGAAATTTAATCGGGGACTTTTAAGAAGTCAGAGAAATTTTTAGGAATCGATAAGATTAGGGCAAAACTGAACCCTTCGAATCGTGAATACAAACGAAAGATCAAGAGTTCTATATTTTGAATTAGGTAATTACCAACAACTTCAACTTCGATGCGTCAACAGAAATGACTTCATATTCGATTTGGAGGTTAAGGTGGTGTTTGTTTTTACAGAGATAAAAGTTATGTAAACTGCAGATCAGTAAAAGAGGTGATCCAAAAGTCTATAGTCTGTAATAAGAAGATTGTTTGTTTTTTAACGTCTGCAGACTGCCAAAATGAAATAAAATATAAATAAATTGATTTTTTAAACTTAAAAGAGTTTTGAAATATTGAGATTTAAATAATTTTAGTTTTACAATATTAAAATTTAAATAATACATACAACTACAATAATAAATTATTTAAAATAAATCAATCCATATTTTAAAATAAATCAATCCATACTAATAAATTATTTAAAATAAATCAATTTATACAACTACAATAATAAATAAATCCATATTTTAAAATAAATCAATTCATACTGATAAATTATTTAAAATAAATCAATCTATACTAATAAATTATTTAAAATAAATCAATCCATATTTTAAAATAAATCAATTCATACTAATAAATTATTTAAAATAAATCAATCTATATTTTAAAATAAATCAATCCATACTAATAAATTATTTAAAATAAATCAATCTATACTAATAAATTATTTAAAATAAATCAATCCATATTTTAAAATAAATCAATCCATACTAATAAATTATTTAAAATAAATCAATCCATATTTTAAAATAAATCAATCCATACTAATAAATTATTTAAAATAAATCAATCTATACTAATAAATTATTTAAAATAAATCAATCCATACTGATAAATTATTTAAAATAAATCAATCTATACTAATAAATT